TACTTGTATCTTTTGCCCATGGGGACTCATCTTTGTGTCACTCCTTTGCTAGAACTCTCATATAATATAAAATAAAATATTGTTACTTGTGCTGCAAATATTTTCCCAGTTTGTTACTTGCCTTTTAAATCTATCTTTGTGCTCATTTGATATTGTAGAAGTCAACAGCAGTTAGGCCAGAGGTCTGGTCTTGCTGCCTATGCTCTGCGTTCAGAATAAATTAATACTTAGGAGTAAACTAGAGACTTTGTATCTGTTTTTGCCAATGTGGTATAAGGAGTGAATAATGGGACAGGACCACAATCTCCACACAGAAGGCCACAGAATCCCCAGGTGAAGGAGGAGGCGTTGGGGGATAATTTGTGTGTTCTGGAGAGCAGTGATACCCAATGCCTTCCTAGATTTTTGGAAATCTCAATTTTAAATGATCTGTCATCCCTATTTGTTATCCCTATTGATACACACGTAATTATCATACCATGATTCTTCTGTGTCTGGTAGAGATAATCCTTACCATGGGCATGTTCTATCTTTGTCTTCTCTCTCACTTTCTCTTTGGCCTGGTTGGTATTCTTTCCTAAAACATCCTCTTTAATGTCTGATTCGTTAGTTACCATGCCATTCTCTAAACTCTACTCCCTTCATTAATTCCAGGAGGTGAAGGTGGACTTTTCTGGAACACTGAAGATGGATATTCCCCACCCCCTTTTTCGTGTTCCTTGTGGCCTAAAAAAAGGCGGGGGCGGGGGGGGGGGAGTCAGGAGGGCCAGAGTTGCACTACAAATACAGGACTGAAGAGGATGTGACAAGCTCAGACATCACCATAGCTAAGTGTAAAGCTGGACTTTTTAAGACACTAAGGAATCCTAGTAAAACCTAGAATATTAAGCAGAGACTTGAGATGAAGGTTGGATGGCAAGTGGCAGACTCTGGGGATTTTAGTTCAGTCATGGGATGAATGTTACTTAAGTACACTTAAAACCATAGCACTTTCTTCATTTCACAAAGAAGGATGCACTCATCATCTTGTATCTGATTTTTCCATATTACATTGTATTATTATTTTAATTATTTTAATTTTGAGCATTTCTCCCCAACTGGATTATGATCTTAAGGACAGAGACCTGTTTACCTTAAAACACTCATATATTTCTGTGTTTGTTTAATTCAGTTAACATTTACCTGCCAGCTCAGATCCTGGCTTCTCTGATTTCTGCGGTGGAAGATTTGGTTTCCTTTTCCAAGGTGCAGATAATGAAATCTATCCTTTACCCCTGGCAAAGTATTCATGAGGATCAAATGAAACCAAGGCTGTGGGAACTCATTGCTCATTTACATTGCTGCAAAGAGCAATGTAAATATCTATGGGGTTTAAAAGTTTACAGATAGCAATCAGAAAGTGCTAGGATGCTGGATCACATTGAGTTTTCATGGGAGATCACTTAATGCCCTCTCTATCTGAGAACAGAGAAAGCCCTGAGCACCTACCTTATCCCCCTCCTCCCTTACAAAGCTACTCCTGTTTCTCACCTGGCCTGTCCCTTTCTCAGGGCTCTCAAAGTGTGATTATGCCATAGTGAAAGCTGGTCTGCTTTTGAGTACCTTTCTTTAACAAGTTCTGACTACTTGCTTTGTTTAAAAAAAATTTTTTTTTACATTTACTTATTTTTGAGAGACAGAGCACAAGTGGGGGAGGAGCACAAGTGGGGGAGAGAAGGAGACACAGAATCCAAAGCAGGCTCCAGGCTCTGAGCTGTCAGAACAGAGCCTTATGCGGGGCTCAAACTCACAAACCATGAGATCATGACCTGAGCCGAAGTCCAACGCTTAACCGACTAAGCCACCCAGGCGTCCCACTTGGTTTGTTTTTAAATCTGTGAATTTGCATTTAAACCATGAGCATTTGCTCAGGTCAATATTTCCTTAGACCAGCTCCATTAGTGAGAATTGTTAGGCTACCTGTTGAGTATAAAAAACCTTGGATCCTGATGCCAGGAGGGTGAGGTTTTCCTGTACTGAGCTCCACAGGTTGTAGGGGTAGCTGGGAAGGAAGAAGAGATGTAGAAGGGAGAAGTCAAGGGAACACAGTCCAAAATAGAAGTGCCTTCCCCTTTTGCCTTCAGGATAGATCAGTCATGGGGAAAGAGGAGACTTACTCTCAAGAAAGAACAAAGAAATTTACAGGAAAAAACTGAAGACATTTCAGAAGTACTGAAGTAAAGAGTGTTTACAGGGATGTAAAATTAATCAGGAATAGTTGCTTTTTAAGGTCATTTAAAGGGGGTAAGTGGGTCACCAGCAAGGTCTTAAAGGGAAGGAGGAGTAGTTCCTGGTTTGGGGTCATAAATGCCTTACTTCAAGCAGAACCAAGCTCAAACAGGAACATTCCTACTCCTTATAATCTAAACTGGTTTTGGTGTCAGGGTGCCTGGATTCTAAAGGCCCTGACTGCAGTGACCAGCTTTCACATACCCCAACCAAATCCTTTAAAGCTTCTCCTCATATAGGAGCAGTTGAAAGTACTTGGAAGAAAACAATTACAACTATTAACCTCAAACTATGCTATAATTATAACCTTATAATTCCTTTATCTTTTTTGAAATGGGTTTTATTATTTTTTTTTCTATTTTTATTTATTTTTTGAGAGACAGCATGCAAATGGGGGAGGGGGCAGAGGGAGAGAGAGAACCTTAAGCAGCTCAGTGCTCAGAGTCTGATGTGGGGCTGGCTCCCACAACCTAACCTGAGTCAAAATCAAGAGTCAGACGCTTAACCAACTGAGCCATCCAGGCACCCCTGAAATGGGTTTTAAATTAGAATAACCATTTATTATTATTGGAAACATTTTAAATAACTTTTAGTAATAATATTTATTAGTCATAAAAAGAAAAGGACATACATAAATCTTTCAAAAGGCCATCTCTGATCTTTTGCTAGATATGTTTGCTTTCTTATATGTCCCCTGGCCCCGCAATAGGCTACTTCAGAATAATGGAAGAATGTAAGTTAAAGGCAACCCAACATCCCAACAAACGCTCAGTAGGAATTGTCTGGAAACTGTTTAGGGAGGTGGGGGGAAGCCACAGGCTTCTGGGAGTTAATCCTTTCCTGTGCCTGCCACCTCCCAGTTTTCTCACTGCTGCATGGCAGTTACCTCTGTGTTGTGTCACACACTGATTCATTCCTAGTAGCTATTAAAGGGCTGACTTTTTTAGGTGATTGACCCTCCTAAAATAATCAGACCCATTTGAGGTCATGTCTGTGGAAATAATAGCAAGCTTGCATGCTTGCATTCTAACATGCCTTCTTGAGTGGGCAAAAAACAATGGAATTTCAGCAGAGAATTGGGTGTGATATCTGAAATGGATCAGATATACTCATCTACAATTTAGAGTGAGAAGAATATTCCAAGAAAAAAAATTAATTTACTTTTTTCTGGGCTTTGACAATACCTGGAATATCACAGGCATTTCATTCCAGGGAACAGACCAGGGATCTTAGGTCTGAGGTACATGGAGACTCCAGATTCATCTCCTCTCCCTCAGCCTGGGCTGTACTTCTTCCTTCTCTTCCTCCCCCAAAATCTTCAGAAGTCCGTTATCATCAGCTCAAATGCCACATCCTCTTTGAAACCTCAGTAGTTGTCAGTACTGATTCTTCTTTACCTTGTATTGGAATTCATTATGGTATAACTGTCTTACTCCTTTCCATATTCTTCAGTTCCACCCAACCCCCAGCAGTATCTGGAGAGACTCCAGGGGAGTGTGTGGCTATAGGCTAGTCATGAGCAGCCAGAGAGGAAACCCAAGTTTTAGTGAAGCACTATATGAAAATGCCACCTGGGAAGGTGTGGTATCAAACTTAAGAAAGGTTAGAAGAGAGGTACAAAATGTAGAAGATTTAACCTGATAAACATGACATGGTAAATGAGGCAGGACTTCTGAGCTAAAATCTGAGTGAAATTTACAGATTTCAGTAAACCAAAGCCCTAAAAAGATACACAGCCAAGAAAATGTTAGAAACTAGGTTACAAATTGTGCAAGTTTCAACCTAGAGGGCTAAGTTTGTTGAGTAATGGAGAATAGTATGGGCATTCCAAGAACAGTGCAGTGTTTCCCTATTAAAAATGTGAGGAAGTGCAACCTGAAAAGTAAGTACTGGAAAGCATGAGTTTAGGCCTGCGGAGAGACACTATGGCACAGCTGTGTCATGTACACTCAAGAGCCTGTTGCCTTGGGTTCATATGCCAGGTCTACCACAGAGCTCTGTGCTGTGTGCAAATTCTTAACCTCAATGCCTAAATTTCCATACCTGCCAAGTGGGAAACGAATAATGGCCACCTCATGGTATTCTTGTAAAGACTGGAGCAGCTGTCAGCAATAGTGCCTGGCACTTAGTGAATACAATATCTTGTTATTTTATTATATAAAATTTAAATAATCTAGTTGGTAATTTATTTGGAACAAGTAAGGAAACTTTAGGGATAATCTGATCAAAGTTTCTGTGATTCCACAAATGATGAAACACAGTGTCATTATGTGACCTTTACAAGTCACTTCAAATGCATTTTATTATCTACTAGTCTCTTAGGGTCATCCCTAAATGGCTTTTTTATGTATTCAGATCTTGACTTCCAGTATGGTTCTTGAATACAGGAACTTGTGTCTTAACCTTATGTGTTAAGGCACACATAGCAGAACTTAATAAATATCTGTGAGGTTTTATTTTTTTAATATGGGATTTCAAATTTATCTCAGGGTCAACCATTTAGACATTAACAATGATTAGTTTTGTTGTATTTAGTTTTTTAAACCCACTTGAGAAGACCCAGACGGCCCTGGCAGAAAGATCTGGATAAGAAAGTGTTAACAAAAGGAAGGAAGACCCCAGAAGAAATTGTGGCATGGGCAGCATGTCTTGAAGCATCTTGGCAATCAGAGGGAGGAAGATGTGTTTATTGAAAAGGTGTAATGAAAGCAAAAGGAAGGGACAGCAAGGATCATGGCCCATACTTTTCAACTCTCTCTGTCCACCTGCAGCCGACTCCACTTTATGTACTGATTCCACAAATGTGGAGCCCCTGACCTCAGGCTGGTTACAGCCCAATGAAGAAACACAGCAACAGCCTTACAACACAACACAAGCCATGGAGAGAGGCCCTGTAAGGCTCCCAAGCTCAAAACTCATAGCCCAAGCTTTGACCAAGAGGTGAAATTTATTCTTGCCATTAACCAAATGTTATGGGAACAGCCAGAACAACCTGAATAGCAGGAGGCGGAGAAGATCCTAGCACTTCCCTAAACCATCCATTTGTGAGCAATTTCAAATAATGACCAATTTTCCTGGGGAGAGGGGTAAATGAGAAGAAAAACCAAGTCCAAAGGTCTTAATTCTGAGGGGATGAAGAGGCTTGGCCTGTGTGGACAGATAGTGTGCTTTCATGGAAAGGCAAGACTTTTCTTTGAGATATACAGGATTGGAAGCAGGGAAGAGGCTAAAGATGTAGGCTGGGGAGGAGTGGAGTGGGAAGCAATTCTCTGTCCTCCCTATAGGCCTTCCTTTGTGGAAAAGATCACTTATAGAGATTGGAATGGCTACAGGAAATAGAGACTGGGATTCTGTTGAAAAACTGGACAGGGATGGCGACTGTCCTTTGTCTCTGAGCTAGAGGTGGCAGTGGAACAGCCTGTATCCCTGAGACTTGGATGCCAAGGTTCCAGGGGGACCTGAACGTCAAGTGGACACAGCAGGAGCAGCATTTGTGCCACATTGTCTCCCCAGTGCCATGTCTAAGCGGGTGCCCACCAGATGAGAGAACCCTGCAGGGGGCTATAGGGTGAGTATCCAACAGTTAAAACAGAGGAGAGCAGAAGGAGACTGAGCCAAAATGTGCCCCCTCCCAAGAGCAGGGCCCACATGCAGTCCAGCCTAGATCTATTCTTAAGATTTAGGACATTCAAGGTAAAGGGAAACAGGGTGTGCAGCCAGCTGGATTGTCAGATACAATACAAAACACCCAGTTGCATTTGAACTTCAGATGAACAAGGACTTACTGTTATTGCATGGAACATACACTAAGAATATTCATTGTTTATCTGAAATTCAAATGTAACTGGGCATCTTGGTTTGTTTGCTTTGCTTGGCTAAATCTGGCAATCCTAGTGACATGTCAACATGCTAAGTGAACCTGAACAGTTTTGAAGATGGAATTAAAGCAGTAGGGGCAACTTCTATAAATAGCACTGAGTCCTCCAAGCTCCAGGGTTTGGTTACTGATTCTGAGGTGATAGTACCCTATCCAAGCACTGAGGCCCTCTTCCTTCTGGGAGCTATGGGACAAAAAGAGAAAATAAATATTCTACACAGGCCAATTTGATTGACCAGCCAAAGCAACAGGCAATAATAGCATAGGGACTTCACACAGCCAGTCTTATAGATTGTGAATGCAGGCATGCCAGCATTTGGGGAAAGATAGGGTATAGAGAAGAGTAGGTTAAGGGGAGAGGATCAGAGTGTTTTGCCTATATTATGTCTCATGAAACTTTGCATCCGTGAGTGAATGTGTGTATACATGGCTAACAATATTTCTTACTATAGTCAGGGTCCAAAATGTTTGAAAACCACTGCTAACGAAGATGTTGTTACTTGCAGGATCGTATTATGAAAACTGTGTTGGATCCAACTGTGTTGGATCAACAGCCAGGATGAGTTTGCTTCACACTCACAGGTGAGGGTGAGCTTTGTCCTGTTCTGGAAAAGTCACCTTCTGGAACTACCTTACCTTTTCATGGAATCTGCAGTCTCTTGCATATATGGATCACTAGTGCTTCATTTAAAGTGGAGTTCTTTCGGGGCGCCTGGGTGGCGCAGTCGGTTAAGTGTCCGACTTCAGCCAGGTCACGATCTCGCGGTCCGTGAGTTCGAGCCCCGCGTCAGGCTCTGGGCTGATGGCTCAGAGCCTGGAGCCTGTTTCCGATTCTGTGTCTCCCTCTCTCTCTGCCCCTCCCCCGTTCATGCTCTGTCTCTCTCTGTCCCAAAAATAAATAAACGTTAAAAAAAAAAAAAGAAAGTGGAGTTCTTTCATTTTGCTGCAGTCACTTGCTAAAAACACACACTGGAATCCAGTATTGTACCCAATCTTGGGCAATAAACATAATAATATAAATATATTATATAAATGCAATAAATAATATGGGCCTAAAGGCACTGTCCAAATGCCCTTTAAAATTTATTTCATTTCCTCCTCTAAAAGGAAGGTTTTTGAACTTTAAAATCCTTGGATATGATGGGTCACCTGGGTGGCTCAGTTGGCCCAGCATAGGAGTTCTACTCAAGTCATAATTTCATGGTTTGTGGGATCGAGCCTCACATAAAGCTTTTTGCACTGACAATGCAGAGCCTGCTTCAGATTCTCTGTCTCCCTCTCTCTGCCTCTCCCCTGCTCACACTCCCTCTCTCAAAAATAAATAAACATTAAAAAAAATCCTTGGAGATTACCTGGTGTAATTCCTCAGAGCAATCCCAAATGGTTTTGAAAGAGTCATTATTTCTCTCATGCGGTGAACATATTATGTTTTTACTTAGGAAGAAGAAGAAAAAATGTTTACAGTCTCACTTTGAACTTTAAAAAATTCCTGTAACAATTAGCTCTTGATTCAGAAATTATAAATAAAACTGTTTTATCATCCAATGTTACTGAAACATTGTGTCTTGTGAGTTTTAGTCTGTATTGTTCCAGGAATTTACTTTTTATTTTGCACTCTTTTGTAAAAAAAAAAAAAAAAAAAAAAAAAAAAAAAAAAAAAAAAAAAAAAAAGCTTATAAATCCAAAGCCTAAATATTTATTGTCCTACACCAATTGCTCTGATCTCCACTGTCCCTCCAAATTTTTCATTTATCGATAGATGAGATGGATTTGCTGTGCTTTTTTAGTGGACAATACCAAATAACACCTGGATCTGAAACTGATCCTGACTGTAATTTTGAAAGGCATATAAAGGCTTGAAGCTTCAATGTCTTTAGCTGTAAGATGGACATAATAAAAGTACCTAACTTGTAGAGCTGTTATGGGATTTATATGAGAGAATGAATGTAAAGTCTGGTGTGGCAGAGAATACTATATAATTCACCATTTCTGTTTCGTCTTCATGAACGTGAGACATATTTTCAACCTTCCTTGTATTGGTTTGGGGCTATGTGACTGGGCTCTGGCTTGGGCTATTTCCAGCCCTGGCTACCCAGCCTGGCTACCATAGAGGACCTATGTCCCAAGTCATGTATTAAACACAGGATAGTGCCCTAAACCACATAGGACTTTATGTAAGCAAGAAACCAACCTTTATTTGTAAAGATTTAGGGTTTCTTTGTTACTGCAACATTGCCTGGCCTACCCTGACTAATACACTTGATATATATATATATATATATATATATATATATATATATATACACACATATATATATATATCACGGTAAATGAATTTCAGCATTTAAGTTATCTGTGAACCAGTATGGACAATTCCTTGGATATATGTTATTAAGAAAAAAATCTAGACAAAGAACAAGAATATATAGTATTCATTTTGTGTAAGAAAGAAGGGGCAATTAAAATATATATTTGACTCTTGAATAACACAGTTTGAACTGCATGGGCCCACTTATACATGGATTTGTTTTCTATAAATACAGTACAGTATAGTAAATCTATTTTCCTTATGATTTTCTTAATAACCTTTTCTCTAGCTTACTTTTTTATAGGAATATAGTATATAATGCGTATTATAGTAAGGTATTAATAGTTAAGTTTTGGAGGAGTCAAAAGTTGTGTATGGATTTTCAACTACACGGGGGGTCAGTGCCCCTAACCCTCGTGTTGTTCAAGGATCAACTATATCTATGTATTTGCTGATTTTGGCAAAAAGAAATACCAGAAAGGAGAAACCAGAAATTAATGAAAATGAAACAGAGTGGAGAGGATAATGCATGGGAGTGAGGCTTCTGTGACTAAATGTGTTGATACAGTGTTGATTTTTGAAGCATGTATTTTATATACTCTGAAACAAAAGTACATCAAAAGGGAAATGCCTTAAGCCTGGACCTTAAAAGAAACTAATGACCTAATTCTATATAAAATTAGTTACTGAACCAACAATGAACAAGAAAGTTATTTTGGGTAATTTGAACACACCACTCTGACTATAAATACATTAATATTATTGGGAACCAAGAATTTTCAATATGAAAGAGAAAAGATAAAATATAAAAAGCATTTTAAGAAAAATGCTATTTAATAATGCCAATAACAATATGAACACACACACACATATATATACACACACACATACACACACACACACACTCCTAGTTGTGTTCCTGAAGAGCCCAGAGGCAATGGCACCATAGTATAGTAGCAGTGGGCACAGCTAGGCCCCATATCTTGCAACTTCTGATGTAATAATTGGTTCAGGCAAGAATAATCAATGAGTACTAAAACCATCACATAAAAAGTAGTTAGGAGCGCCTGGGTGGCTCAGTTGTTAAGCATCTGACTTCAGCTCAGGTCATGAGCTCACAGTTCATGACTTTGAGTCCCACATCGGGTGAGCATGAGCTCTGCTGGGTAAAACACGAGCCCAGGTGAGCCCTGCTTCTCTCTCTCTCTCTCTCTCTCTCTCTCTCTCTCTCTCTCTCTGTCCCTCTCTCTCCCTCTCTCTGCTTCTCATGGGATTCTGCCCCACCCCTGCCTCTTGCTCACTTGCACTGTCTCTCTCTCTGTCTCTCTCTCAAAAAAAAAAAAAAAAAAAAAAAAATCAATTACAAAAAATAACTTTAAAAAAAAGTAGTTGGGCAATAGGATATTCCTATAGGGGCAAAGTACCACTCCACATATCATTACTAATTTCAAAGAAAAAGATGTTCCTTTGGTGTTGGATACAATGTGTGCCCATCCCCACAAATGCATTTGGCCCTGCCTGCCTTTCAGGACCCACTTGCCCTCCTGGGTAAAGAGGTCCCAATGATGGTTGTAAAGCTTCAGCCTCCATCTTGTCAGCTCACCTCCTACAATGACGGACATCTTTGCCTTTGGCAAGATTGTCATTACACCTGCCAGGTGTATAGAAGCTCCTATATCCAAGTCCAACACAGTGGAACCCACGGAAGCCCTGGCTTTCCCAGTGGCTGCCTGGAGGCATTGGCAACACATTCCAGAAGTACAGGGGTATTAGTACACTGTGGGCTTTGTGCCAGAGAAGGACTCCACCCAGATGCAGTGGTGCCACAGGGCACCTCCAAAGATGTCCCACACAACCAAGTAAGGCTGCTTATGAAATCATGGCCAGCTTGGCAACAAACTACATTGTATTCATTTTCCCTCCCTTTCTGCCCCCGCCTTTTTTTTTTTTTTTTTTTTTTTGCATTCATAGGATTGTACCTCTCATAAAGCATTAGCCTGTGAACTTTGCCTCTGTCTCTGTTTCCAGGCAGATACTTTTCCATGGAGGTTAGGCAGTCACTTTCTCAGCCAAGTAAGTCATCATTCTTAGCATCACCAGTAGTGGGAAAACCCAATGTACGACCATCCTCATGAGATTCCTCTGAAGTATTCCCAAAAAAAAAAAAAAAAAAAAAAAAATTAACCTAAACCTGATCAAGCCTTCAGACCTAACTTCTATTTTAAGGACAATACAGTCTTAAAAGTAAAAGTTAAAGAACCCCATCTGGAAACAATCAGACAAATGAAGAATGTGTGACTTTATTTTTTTTAATGTTTATTTATTTTGAGACGTGAGGGAGTTGGGGGGGGGGCAAGTGGGAGAGGTCCGTGCTGTCAGGACAGAGCCCTACAGGGGGCTTGATCCCAAGAACCACAAGATCACGACCTGAGCCAAGATCAAGAATCAGACACTTAACTGACTGAGCCATCCAGGTGCCCCAGGAATGTGTGACTTTGTATAAGTTACCTGGCCTGGACTCTTGAAAAGTCAACATCATAAGTCAAAACCAAACAGAAGTTAAGGTGGGGAGAGTTTCCAGATTAACCTCCAGATGGAATCCACGAATCTTGATTAGATCATGGGGGAATTGCATAGAAATCTTTAGGAGACAATTGGGAAAATTTAAATATGGCTTTGATATTAGTTATGATAATAGAATGATTATTAATTTTCTTAGGTGTGATAGTGGCATTGTGGTTATATAAGAGATTACCCTTGTTTTTAGGAGATTCATGCTTAAGTATTTAGAGATCATGATGTCATATTAATAACTTATTTTCAAAACTGGTGTGTTTTGGTATATGGGGAGGGGGGAGAGAAGGACAAAAAGCAAATATGGTAAGACATTAACAACAGTTGAATCTAGATGAAAAGCATTTGTGGTTCTAGCCTTTCAATATTTTTAGGTGTTTTTAAATTTTCATAATAAAAAGTAGTAAGATAAGTACAAAAACCAAAAACAACAAACAGACAAAAACAACCTAAGTAAAATTTAGGATATATTTGTATTTGAAGAATTTTTTTTAAGTTTATTTATTCTGAGAGAGAACACAAACCAGGGAAAGGCAGAGAGAGAAGGAGAGAGAGAATCCTAAGTAGGCTCTACGCTGTCAGCACGGAGCCCAACAGAGGGCTGGATCTCATGACCTGAGCCAAAATCAAGAGTCAAAATGCTTAACCAACCGAGCTACCCAGGCGCCTCATTTGAAGAAATGTTTTATTTTCCTCAGTTCGAGTAAGCAGTCACTACTTTATCAGGGACTAATTCATCTACCTCAAAATGGATATTTACACCTAAATTGCTGTGCTTTTGAAAGCTTTTTAACTCTTGAATATTTCCAGCAGTTTCCCGGGTAGAAGAAATTTGATGCCAATTCTGCACACCCAAATTCCTGGCAGATTAATCAGCAAGTAGTACAGAGAGCTGCTTTCTTTAAAAAGCTTCATTTATCACTCAAACTGTGAATGCTGAGATGCCAAGGCACGGTGGAGAAATGATCCTTTAGAGGTAAAGTTTGAATGATCTGGTATATGTATCAGTACTCTTTCCATGCATTCCAAATCTTGTATATAATGCAGATTAGAATGGCAGCTTTTTCTACAGTTATATTGGCAACAAACACTGATTAGCTATTAAGTATGGCAAAACATTTATTTCAGGCTTCTATTATTAGCACCACCTCTTGACTCACAGAGAAAATTCTTCCCAAAGTTTTGGTTAATGTGACAGTTTTATTTGTTAAGACACAATTTTCCTTTATCATCATTCTCCCACACAGAACCGACCCTCCATTTCCAAGATGCCTCCAGACCAAGGAGTTCCCAGTCTGTTCTCACCATTCCAGTTGGCCCCAGGTCAGCCTGTCTCTAGGGCTTCCATCCACAATACAGTCCCAGGATAGTGCTTCCCATTACATTATATTCATGCTAACTAAACTGGCTAGGCAATGCCCTGGACTTCTAAAGGAGTTCCTCACAGGATTGAGTTGTCTTTGCCCTGTCCAGGGAGGAACCCCTCTCATATGCACAGAATTCTCGCAATACTAACGTGTGTTCTTCCCTTTAACAGTAGAACTCCTCAGTTAAGGCTGAATTCATGGCCACTGCATTAAGTTTATGCTGCATTTATGCTGCATAACAAGCACCCCCAAAATCTCAGTGGCCTCCCCCCAAAAAAGCCATTTATTTTTCTTGCAGTTCAGCAGAGACAGCTCTCCATCAGTCCATGGACAGATTTAGGATTGGCTTCACTTGTCTCATCCTCTGAACCAATAGCTTCCTGGGGCAGGCTCTTCTCATGCAGGGCGACAGCCATGCTAGTGGGGTGAGGAGAAACACAAGAGGCCACTTATGGCCTTGGCTCAGAACTGACACACTGTTACTTCTGCCCACATTCCCCTGGGCATCATTAGGGTATGGAAGTACTCTATACCATGAGGAACCTTGCCAAGCGCTGGGAGGGGAAGATCAATGGCAAGCAGATAGTACAATCAATCTCAGCCTCCCTTATAACTTGGTGTGTCCTTGCAACTAAATTCTGGCCAAAGGGATGTGAGGGAAAGCAATGTGTGCAACTTCCAGGCCTTGTACTTGTAAGGACTGGACACACCCTAACTTTTCCCTGCCCATCAGCTGAGCACATGGTGGGGCTGCAGCAATCACCTGGTCCAGAGGTAGACGGCACAGCTGTCCCTCCAATCCTAGCTCTGGACTGTTATATGTATGTCATTTACATTGGTGGATTTTTGCATTGCTGTTATGGCTTCTGAGCACCCTGGCTAGTACAGCATCTATTCATTCACTCAGTGAGTATCTACTGAGTGTCTTCTTTGTGACAGGCATTGCTCTAGGCCTGAGAGGAAGTATTAGTGAGCAGTCTGCATCTTGACTGTGGTGATGTTCACACAAAACCTTCACCTGTGATAAAATTGCATAGAACTAAATAACACACATACATGAGTACGAGTAAAACTGAGGAAATCTGTACAAGATCTTTGGCTTGCACCAATATTGACATACTAGTTGTGATATTATATTACAGTTTTGCAAAGAAACTAGGTAAAGGATCTCTGTATTCTTTTATTTTATGTTTGTTTATTTTGAGAGAGAGAGGGAGGGGGGGAGGGGCAGAGAGAGAGAGGGAGAGAGAATCCCAAGAAGGCTCCACACTGCCAGTGCAGAGCCCAATATGGGGCTTGAACCCAGGAACCATGAGATCATGACCTGAGCCGAAGTCAAGAACCAGTCTTAACCAGCTGAGTCACCCCAGAATCTCATGGATCTCTGTATTATTAACAACTGCTTGTGAATCTAATGATCTCAAAATAAGAAGTTAGAAAAAAAAAAAAAAGACTAGGACTTTGGTCTCTTTGTGCTTACAGTCTAGAATGGTATCAAAAGAAAATCCAGAGAGACTTACTTGGTATGAATATTTTATTGAGCCAGAAACAAACTATTTGCAAACAGGGAGACTTCAAACCAAAAGTGGGTATAGCTGGCTCTCAGAGTTACAGCTCAATTTATAGAGCATGAGGAAACACATTTGTTTTCTACTGTGATTGGTTACTAGAAACTGATATTCTTTTTAGGGTAGAAGCACAGCATAAACGTACTCATATGTAGTTGACTAGGAAGCTATAGGTTATACTGACATGAAGAAGGCTTAAGTTTTGTTTAAGGTCAGAGTCAGCATTTTGGAAAAATCAGGACAGTTTTATGTTTTGATTACGTGACTCAGAGTGTTGGACTAGAGGTATATTCAAACTGTGCGCTCCACTTTGGTCTTTCTTTAACCATGGGAATCAAAAGATTCAAAAATCAAAAAGTCACTGATGACAATCTCTGCATGGCAGCAGCCGCACTTCACCCATTCAGATGACAACAGTGTCCTGAAGTCTGCAGAGCACAGTTAAATAAAAGGAACTCAGGGCAGAGCTGCCAGGCAGGAGTGCTCACTTTGGACTGTGAAGTGAAAGAGATATAAAGTTCTTTGTTCTTTAAGTAGGGTGTCCATGTAAGTTATCATCAAACTGAGACACCTGTGAGAATAATCACGCTGGCACAGCTTGTGTAAACAGATCATTTGGTTAGTCTATTTAAAAAATTTTTAATGTTTATTTATTTTTGAGAGAAAGACAGAGCATGAGTGGGGGAGGGGCAGAGAGAGAGAGGCAGACACAGAGTCCGAAAGGGTTCCAGGCTTGGAGCTGTCAGCTCTGACCTGAGCCAAAGTCGGATGCTTAACCAAGTCACCCAGGCGCCCATGGTATATTTTAAAAACATTGTATCATTGACTCTCTTAGTTATAGCAGCCTCTCTTTTTCTAACTAATACGGAGACTAATGGATGCTGCCTTTGTCAGCACCAAATAGCTTAAGAGGAGGGAACCAATAAACCCCAAATCTCAGTGAGTTAATTGTGCTTAAAAGGCTTTTTCTTGGGGCACCTAGGTGGCTCAGTCAGTTACTTATCTGACTTTGGCTCATGTCATAATATCACAGTTCGAGGGTTTGAGCCCTGTGTCAGACTCTGTGCTGACAGCTCAGCCTGCTTCTGTGTCCCTCTCCCTTTGCCCCTCCCCTCCTCATGCTCTCTCTCTGTCTCAAAAATAAACAAACATTTTTTAAAAGGGTATTTCTTGCTCATACAAAATTTAATATGGTGCTGGTGGCCCTCCTCTATCTTCTAGTCAACTCATTTTGAATATGGACTTCCCAGATTGCTGGAACAGTAGACAAGAGAGTTGGAGGATTACAGAAATTTTTGTGGGCCCAGCCAGGAAGTAGCTTACATCACACCACCCACATTTCATTGACTAGAGCTCAGTCACATCATCACCCCTAACTGTAAAGGAGACTGGGAAAAGTAGTCCTCCTATAAGTCCAGGAAGAGAAATTCTGCCACAGATGCATCATTACAAGCTGGGAGAGGGCACTAATGTGGCCTCAGCATCTTTAGATTGACTCCCTTACCCCTTGGTATACGTGGCTATGCCGTTCCCAGAGAAACCACTGAAGCTGCAAGAAAGCAGTTCAGAATAGCCTATAACAGTGAATTGACTTCACTTTCTCTCTGGTTATTTTGGTTTGTAATATACCACCATTCATCTCTGGGAACACTGTTTTCTTCCCTCTATTTTATAATCCTCTCTCCCTCTGTATTAGATGGGTTTTTTTTTAATTAAAAAATGTTTATTAATTTTTGACAGAAAGAGAGCATGCATGTGAGCAGAGGAAGAGCAGAGAGAGGAGACAGAGAATCCAAAGTGCACTCCATGCTGAAAGCGGAAAACCCCATATGGGGCTCAAAATGTCAGAACTGTGAGATCATGACCTGAGCGAAAGTTAGACACTTAACTGACTGAGTCAGCCAGTCACCCCATTAGATGGGGTTCTTAAGAGACACAGATAGATATAGACAGATATATAGATAAATATACAGATGATATAGATATAGATAGAAAGATATATATGATATATATTATATATATGATACATATATATATGATATATATATTATATATATATATATATATATATATATATATATATATATATGAGAGAGAATGATTTATTTTAAGGAAGTGGCTTATGCAATTATAGAGGCTGGCATGTCCAAGATCTGCAGGGTAGGCCTGTAGGCTAGAGACCCAGGGAACAGCACTGTTGCTACAGTTCGAGTCTGAATGTCCAATGCTGGCAGAATTCCTCTTGGCTCAGGGGAGGTCAATCTGCCTGGTCTATGCATGCCTTCAATTGATTGGATGAGGCCCACCCACATTAGGGAGGGCAATCTGCTTTAGTCCATCAATTTAAATGTTAACCTTTCCTCTGAAAACACCCTCAAAGAAACATCCAGAATGATGTTTGACCACATATCTAGGCACCATGGTCAGCTAAATTAATGCATAAAACTAATTACATGCTCCAAGGCCAGTTTTTAATACTTTATATTTCTTGTCAAAAGTGGAAGGCAGGGTGATATGGGGGTAAGGGTCAAAGCTGGGTTCAAATACCTAATTTTACTCTGAATTCCAGTTTCATTTATAAAATGTGAATAAGAATGTTTACCTTGAATAAATCTGTAAAGATTAGATATCATGTATGTGAGACACCTAGACCTATTGCTGACTCATAAATGAGGGCAATTATTAAGATTTCAGTTTGAACAAAAAGTCTACTAAACACTTTACATTTCTTCTTACAGTTGCTTTTTTATTTGTAGGTGACCCTTGACCTTTTTCATTTTCCCTGTGAGGTTTAGCAGTATCTCAACAGGAAGCTCCTTGCCACAGTGTAACACAGTGTATAGCTCTCATGTGGTTTCACCATCTCCTGGTACTCAAGTCGCCAACAGTCAGCTGTGTCCTACTTTTCCATGACCCATCACTGACAACCCATGTAATGTCACATGTTTGAACAACTTATTTAGGCATGTCAGAGAAAATCCAAGGGGAAAGAGGAGTCAGGAAGAATTGTAAAAATAAATAAAAGGTAGGAGTTGGCAGGAAATGATTTAAGGAGAAAAGGAAATAGAAATCAGATTTGCTTCTAATTTCCTTTGTGTTCTTACACCATTTTAGAAATTAGCATTTACATTTATGACTGATTGGATGAACCAACTCTTCTGATCCTCTCATTCAACAAACATACAGATTTCCATATTGGGGTGGAGTTGAGGAAGTTTTCAAAGTGGGCCAAAGCCACATGGGAACATGTGTCAAAAGTGAAATGGTCTTCCATAAGTTGAGCTTCGAGTAGGTAATGTAGAAGTTATCAAACAGCTCCTTTGAGCTCCTTGGTCTCCTGGTTAAGCAACTGGCTGAGCCACTTTCAAAAAAGACCCAAACACACTGGCTTTACAAGACTGGCCTCTGTTTCTCTTTCAGATGATAGTACAGTGGTGGGTCGGTGGGTGGTCCAGGGCAATAGTTGCTCTGCTCCACAAGGTCATACTGGGTAATGAATGAGGCTGAGATGGTGGCTTTACATCACCATTGCATGATATCTACCTGTGGGTTCATGATGTCACTCCAGCTGTCCCCGTTCCCAGCCAGGTGGAAGAGGCAAAGTAAGCAGAGGACTAAGAGCTTCCTTTTTAGGGAATCACCTGACAGCTGCCCTTTTACTTCTGCTCACATCCCATTGGCCAGAAACTTGAAGGGAAGCTGGACATATGCCCTGACAAAACTCTGCTGGGTGGGGTCTGATTACTAAATGGAACAAGGAGACACTGGGTGCCTTGGAGTACTTAGTAGTCTTTGCTGTACCTGGTTCTTTGGAGGTGATTCAACTCTCTCAGAAGAATCTGTTAGACCCAGTGGGCAAACCCCCAATTCCCCACTCTACTAGAAAACCTCTACTTCCATCTATTTGGGAGTACTATCTAAATTTCTATCTGAAAAATGGATTTCTACCCACAAAAAAGTTTGAAGACCAGTTTACAGATTAGTGTGCCACGGTAGAAAGAGAAGCTCACATCAGTGAAATAACTTTAGCCAGAGGACCTTGTTACAGCTTGGAGCTGTTCTTCCACTCCCTGGCCGCCACCATTCTGACAAGCAGACCCTGAGGCAAGGGAGGTGGGGAACTATAAAGAGCCAGGCTGCACCTCCTCACACAGGAGGCTCATTTGCTTTCCCACCTGATCCCTCTTCCACACTCAGCACTAAACAGTTCTCAATCTCAGGAGAAAATAAGAATCCCAAGATTGAAAATCCCATCTTGCTTTGAGTGCAGTCACTGGGGGGCATGTGGTGGGGGTGGTGCTCAGAATCAGGGAAATGGAGATATACACAAGCAGGATTAGGCCATCTGGATTTGCTAACTGGTGTTTATGGAAGCAAGGCTCCTACCCTCCTACAGAGACTGGGAGACAGGGACCTTATCTGCAAGTGTTGGCTGGAAGAAACTAAATTCTTCTGGCAGCTTTAAGCTTTCCCACGCAAGAACTTCAGGGGGCTGGAGTGGACATCCCAAGCACATGGCCTTGAACTGTTAGAAACTATGCTAGTGTTTGTTCCAGTCTCTTAATGCAGGGCTTGGACGGAGTGGTTAGTGCCAAAGCTCTTCTGCAGCGCTGACAGCCCACGCCTCGTCCATACAGGGGATC